TATGAGTATGAGTATGATGGGATAACGTTGAACTTCAACTTGATGGCCCTGCTAATGTCAGTGTCACTGTCACTGTGAGTGGCAGGGTAACCAGATGTCCGTATTTTGCCCATGTGTCCCGCGTCCCGTACCGACCCTTCCCGGGACACATGTTTGTCCCGAAATTTTTAACATTTTTAACAAAATACATCAAAAAAGGAAGAAATTTCATCATATGACAAAAACAAAAATCTATTTAATAAAATAAAATAAAGATATCGAGGAAAAATCTAAGTATCCCCCCCCCAAAGATCTGGTATCCCATTTTTTGGATAGTAATTTTAACAATTGTTTGCCTTCAAAACTCTCATCGCTCGCATTCATTTTACATACGCCTCCACAGTACACTGCAGACAGGCATATTGTCTAGACGCATTGTCTGGTTCGCTTGATACAATGTATACACATCACATTTATGCTGGCGCTTGCAAATATCGCGCCTGCATTCTTAAGTTAAGGGCCGGACACACTAGGCGATTTTAATGCGATCTAATCGGCCGACTTCATCGCCCGATAATATTGCCTGATTCTAAACGTTTTGATCGATGCGATTAAATCGGGGGACTAAATCGGCGGCGGCTGACTGGACACATTAGGCGATTTTCACCGGCGATTGAGTCGCCCGATAAAATCGCCTAGTGTGTCCAGCCCTTTACAGCTCCAGTTTGAGTTTATGGTGACGTTGGTGTTTTCGGATATTTTCAATTTTAAACTCAGTGAACTTTCAGTTTCATAAAGTTTCATATTTAATGAAGAGTAATTTGTCCTTTTCTGCAGTACAATGAAAGGATAAAAAAATCACTAAATTGCTAAATTGCATGCTTTGCACCCCCAAATCAAAAAAAGTTCTTACCGTGGGAGGGGGACACCACCTCCGACACCCTCACCCGCTCCGCTCCCTGGCTGAGTGGTCTCACTCTATCACTAGTACCATCACCTACCACACCGCACACGTCTAGGAGCACACTCTAGACAAAGGTTAGAGTATAGGTACAGGCTGTACATAAATACATACAACTCATTGAGCTCCTTGATTGACTCTAGTGACTGCTTTATATAACTAGACAGGTCTTTGTAAGGCAAGGCTGTCAACAACCAAGATTGTCATTTCTACTCGTAGTTCTATATTCGACCACTACGTGGCACGCGTGTTGGTAACAGCAGAGACAATAGAACACTAATACTAGTTCTGGTGGCCGCTGCCATAACAATACATAACTGACTTGGAGCCATGTGGTATAAATATTAATAAATTGTGATGTTTATCATCATTGTAGACCAATAAATTGTGCTAAGACAATTGTTAGAAGCTGATACTATTCCAGCATATTCTATCGTATTTATATTTATAATTCTTTTGTTATAATCTGACACTGTGAATCGCCGTAAAAATCGTAAACATTTCGGGTGATACCGCCCACAGCCTACAGGCTACAGCTGAGTACAGGCACTTGGATTGGAAGTTGGAACGTCTCAATAAAAAAAATTAATGGTAAATAAACACGAAATGTACCAAAGTCTTAATGTTTCTCTACTCTATTTTGCCTATAGTCACCTGTAAATGCCGGTCAAATGCTCATCTGCAACACACAAGTACACAGACTTTCTTGTTCATGTTGTTTGTGCACGTGAACCCACACCAAATCCACCAAAATCGTCGGTGTGGGTGTCGTACCCAAACTTGGAATTTGCACAATCTCGAGATTGTGCAGCGATTGTGCTGCCTAAACTGCGGATTCCCTAGTTTGGCTGACCAATCTCAAGATTGGGCAAACTGAAAACAGTCGGTGATTCAACAACCGCTCATAGCGAGTGTGTGGTGTGCGTGGTGCAAACTAGGAATAGATTTATCTCATAGTTATCCAATTATTTATTATAATCATTTAATATTTATACAAAGGTGCCAAACACATTGAGGAAAGAAGGTATACGACCTATATAGTTATGATTACTATGGCGTGCTGCGCAACTCTCAACTAGCATTTTGACATATACATCTCACTCCGCCGACTGGAAGTCTAAAGAACCTCTTGATTCTCGATCCGCATACCTCTCAACGCATGATGATACTCCTTCATGAATAAAACGCTGAATATCTCACTGCATCAGCAAAAAAATCTACAAATATCGAAAACGGTCACTTTAAGTAATCTACCTACATCTGCACTCCAAATTTGCCACAGTTTATAATATGCCGCAAAAAGCCCCTTCATCCTCCTCGCCACTCTCCACTTCGACCGTCGGCTATCGGCTACCCTCGTCGTCCCCGTCATCCTCCAATCACTCGTTCCGCTGCTTCCTCATTCACATCCGGGTCGCTGCTCTTCCTTGTCTCACGCTTTCGCAGCCCTTGATTGATAGAACATTTTTGAAAACTACTCTATACAATACTATGTTTGCTGCAAGCTCTGTTCAGCCTCTGCGTTTGCCCCTACACCTCTTCACGATTCCGGGGTTGCCCCATCCACTGTGCTCGCCATCCCTCCGCGCGTCCGGTAATGTCCAAGTTTGTGCCAGATTCCAAGTGGGCACAACATGCGGCATTGCGGTCAGAGAATCTAGCGGACTAGCCCGCCGCGGATTGTGCACAATGACAAACATGAACTACGGAGAGTCTCTCTTATTCCCCAACTTCTCTTTATTCATTGTTGTTTTGTGCACGATGGTGGCGTGGCGGTGTACTTGTGTGTTGCGATGAGCATTTGAACCGGCATTTACAAGTGAATTATAGGCGAAATAGATAGCAAAATACATTAAGACTTGGTACATTTCGTGTTTAATTTACCGATTAATTTTTTTTATTGAGACGTCCCAAGTGCCTGTGATACCGGCCTACCTGCCATTACTCATTAGGAGTGTTTTCAACTTAATGTCATTAATTTAACACAGTGGCTACGCGTCCGGAACGGTCGCCTAGCTCCAGGCTACGCATCCGGACATCCACTCACAGTGATCGCGACGACTCGCGTACATGCATGATTGCGCAACGGTACGCTCTGCGGATTGCCGAAAATATACAAATTACAATATACGTTAATTAATGTGGCTTAGGAAGAGCAGGTCGAGAGCACTAGATAAACGCGACGGCAGGCTCTCCGACTGTTTACATGCCAGTATCACCCGCGCTAGCACCCTTAGCTCCCGTACATCTTCTCACGTGCCACGTAGCTCCGGTGTACGCACCGAAGCAAGGAACTACTGAGTGGCTAGGCGGATAAGGTCCGTTAGTTCTTCCAGTGCATCATGGTTCAGCAACGGCCTCCCACTGTGATCCATCCGAGCTTATACCACCCGACATTAATAGGAGACATTAACCGAGTTACGCCCGGAAGCAGGCTTCCCATGAGAGAGGCGTTTAGCCGTAAAATATATGCGCACTCCGGGTGCTGGCCGGTCTATCCTATTCATGTGCCATACGTCTCGGCTCTCATCATCTGTCTCCACCACAGCTCTGCTCTCTGCTCTCTCACACACAGGCTGCGCTCCCCGGGCGCGACGACATGCTCGGCGTTAATCGCAGGCCACACGCAATTCCGCCACATTTTTTTTAACTGACCACACAACAACTCACACCTGGGCTGGCACGTCATCACACCTTTCTGACCGCGCTTCTCTATTTCGCTACATTCGGCCTCGGCGCTTCGTCGTCTCTCTCTCCTGCTCTCTAACTCTCCTCTCTCACACGAGAGATGCGTGCCCCCCCCGCCAACACGACTAACCTCTCTTCTCATTCACAGGCAACAGGAGCCCGCGGCGCTGCTGTACACACAGCACCCGTCGTATCTCTCTTCTACGTCGTTCCTTACGACAAGCACCAGCCAGCAAGCGCAGCGGGCAACATGTACCTCTTGGGGTCAGGGCGCCGCGCTCAGGGGAAGGGGCCGCTCTTGTTGGTGGTCCGCCTCAAAGGGGACCCGCCGGGTTTCATCTCGCCTCACTTTCTTTGCGCGCTCACACGAGAGGTGTGAGTGCGGCCGCATACGGGGCAGGGGAATAGCTAAATTGGCGAGGTTGGGCGCGACCCTCACAGGGGCAAGGAAGAAAGGTCAATTGGGGAGTGAGGGAGGAGCCCTAGGGGGGAGAGGAGAAAACACTTCTCTCTTCTTTCTCACACCTATTGCGGCACACACACGACCGTTCTCTCAGTCTCTCACACACACAAGCACAAGAGCGAAGCTAAGAGGTGACGTGGAGGCTGGGCTCATGGGGGTGAAAGGAGCGACTAAAGGGGTCAGAAGGAAGGCCCCTTGTGGAGTGAGGAGGAAAAGGCCCACCAACGTGATAGAACACGAGCACGGCTGAGTGTTAACAAGAAACCCTTGGAAATCATGTGGCGATAGTGCGTGTGGAGGCCGTATTCCTGGGTTGGCTTTTCTTCTAATCTTGAGGGTTTCGGCATTTCTGGATGCCATAGCAGAATGGTCCAGGATGCATTCAGTGACATGGAGAGGGAATGTGGAGCTCTCACAATGGCAAGCGTGTTATTCGGAGCAAGTGCGTGGGGGTCGAAAGATCACGACTCACACCTTCTTCTCGTTTCATCTTCTTTCTCTCAGTCTTATCTCTCACGACACGACCGGCACCACGCAGACGGCATCGGCACGCACTTGGGCCGCGCGCACACGAGCACCTCTCTCGTCTGCACGACCCAGACACGACGCGAAACCGTCTCCGGGCCACAACCAGGGCGCACGCGTCTCCCGGGTTTTGGCCGTATATCATGCGATGGTATCGCGGTGTCGGGGCAGCCCTCACTTAGGTTTGAAGGATGGGATGTCCGGATTGCGTAGCCCAGCGGGCTATGGGGCGAGAGGCCGCGCTCATCTGGGTCACCGGGGCCCGAATCTCGGAGGAACCCCACGGCTACACGGGCAGGGTAACCAGGCCTTACAGTTTAATAGTCATAATACATATCTTGAGGTTATATATTATATATATATATATAAATAGTGTCATGGTCATATATTAGTTTGTGGTTTAATGTTATTTAGGTTAGGGTTAGGGTTAGGATTATCAATCATTAATCATTAATCATTAATTATATGAAAGTTGGGAACACTCCTAATGAGTAATGGAGCGTTAGACAACATTTTGGGCCCAAGGGCAAGGATTAGCTCTATCAACTAGAGCTAGGGCAAGGATAAGATTAAGAGCTGTCCAGATTTGCACATTTGCACGTTTGCAAAAATGCATTGGGGACGGCTCTTATATCCTTGTAGCTCCAAGAAACGGTCTTTGCTAGGGTTAGGTGGACGTTAGTCACACAGCCTGGTTGGGTTAATATCCTTGAACCAAAATTTCCCAGACTACTGTCACTACAGTCTACACTACCTCGTAACCTCGTAAGTAATAATATTAATAGTCTTCAAAGTCCAAGGGACTATTATATATATATATATTATATTATATATATCCTATTATATACTCGCGGCTAGGCCCTGCATACCTCCCAAAGTGACCGACGAATCTGAGCGCTTGCAGCTCCTCCCAAAGTGATGTGTCGTCGACCGACCAATCGGAGCGCTCGCAGCTCAGGCACTAAAGCTGATGCGATGTTTTGTGGTTGCATTATTTAAGCTGGCTATCGGGAGTGGATGGTTACTGGTAAGGGTTAGGGTTTAGCTTTATATTTATCAGCTTTAGTGCCTGAGCTGCGAGCGCTCCGATTGGTCGGTCGACGACGCGCCACTTTGGGAAGTATGCAGGCCCTAGCTGCGTATATATTATATGGAAGAAAAAAAGTGGTTTTTAAACCTGGGGATGTCAAATAGGATTTGGCCCAAGGTGAGTACCCTCGGTACCGACGTTTTGTCCCGGCTTTCTGACAACAAATGACAGATTTCTTGGCTTGCTAGAAATTATTAGACAACACCTTCAAGAAGACCTCTGTTAATTTTTAGCTCATCTGACATAGTCAGATGCAGCTTGTAGAATCGCATGATCGTCCGTGCGTCCGTCCGTGCGTCCGTCCGTCAACAGTTGGGCACAAATCTTAACCGCTCGACGTACGGTCACGATATTCGGGACGTGGGGGGGTAATCCGAAAACGAGTTGGGATGTCGAAGCTGGGGGTCAAAGGTCGAAGGTCAAGAGGTGTAAAAGAAGGGGGAACATTCCCTCAGTAACTTGAGGTATAGGGAGA